ATTGTGAATTATTATTGAGTTACGTATTAAGTTTTTGAGCTAGCATTTTGTTGAGGAAGCATCTCATTTTGACTAGTGCTGCTTCATATTGTGGTTATCTAATGAATGTTAAATCTCTTTCCCCTTCAGCTTCCTGAAGAGCGAAAATTAGACCTGATCAAGAACCTTGTGGAATGTTCTCTTTACCCAAGTCCACAGGATGCAAGACAGATTCTTCCATCAGTTGTTCAGCCGTTAAAGGTATTTCTTTAGAAGGAGATGGAAACTGTGTGGTTTTTCATGTTGCCTGCATATTATCAATTGTAATGCCTCTGCTGATCCCTTTCTTCAGTCATTGTATAATTATTCGAACATTCTATTATTGGGATAAATTAAATAGACATATCTCTCTCTTCACTGCATGATTCTGCTTGCTTTTATTGGTTTTGATTTTATTTCCTCTATATTGCCTTTCCTCTTGTTAATTTATATCTGTGAATTATTTTGTTTCTTCAAACGTATAATTATTAGCTTTCCTTGATTGCATTATTCTCTCTCTAAATATATATGTGCACACGCGCGTGCACACACATATATTAGAGAACCTTTTGGCAAATACAAACACCGCCGCACAGACATTTCTATTTACAGAATATGCTCATGCTTTATTTTCTTTTATTCTTCAGTTGGACATTAATGTTTTGATACAGGTTATGTTGATGAGTGAAAAATTCATTTAAAATGTAGAAATAATGTTTTGGATAGTGATTTTTTTTTTTTTTTGGAGAATGTGTCATTAACAAGAATGGAAAAATTTTGGGCTTACTTTAAAAATATTTTATTGTGTAAATGTGCGGTAAAAAAATGAGTATGAGAAACAAAGAGACTCAAACAAGGGCTTACGGTATTCTTGTTGAATATGTGATGCTGTCAATACTTAGTGCTATATACCTGCATGTCCCATGGCGACGATTTGCCCAGCGACATGGTGGCTAGAAATTACTTAAATCTACAATAGGACACTTGATGTGCCATGTTTTATATGATTTTTAGATTGGTTTAGGAAATTCTTTCTCAAGACCCCTTTCTGCCTTTTTGTCTATCAGAAATATTTGGTTTGAAGGAAGATCGAAGAGATAAACTTCTCGTGTGTCAAGTGTCTGTTGTATTCATTTCACCATTTAGCTTGTAAGGTAAAAGTGAGATATATTTTACCCGTCAATATATCTGTGATGTGCTTCAAAGCTGACTTGAGATCTCTTTGTATCATTTATTTAGACCCCAAATTCCACAAATAGCCTATTCGGCTACAAGATAGTTACTGGTCAGCCTTCAGACAGACTTGGAGAAGACTTTTCAGGTCTAAACAAGGACTTCATAGAGAGGAAATTTATGCACCAATTCCACGACTGATATTTTCCAAATTTTACACAAACCTTTGTTATTGGACAAATAAAGTAAAAGACTAATGCTGAGGCTCAAAACCTCATGTAAGTTACAGAAGAAATTTTTTTTTTGGGGGTGAGGGGGGTGGGGTTGGATATTTATTGGATCAAAGTTAGAGCACAGAATAGTTGAAAAAGAGAACATCATAGTTGTTTTCAGCCACCAATGAACAGCAATAACTTTTTGGGCGAATGAGTTTGATGTTCTTGATTGGTAGAATAAGAATAATATGCTTATTTTCATGCAATAACAGAGTTTTTTCATGCGCCCTGATTTATTTGCTTGATTCTTAATTACCAAATCATTCATTTTTATATAATCAGGTGTCAATAGTTGTGAGCATAGCAAAAATAACAAAAACGATTGGTTTCTTTTACTTTCTTCCCCCTTTTCCATTTAAGTTCTCTATTGTAATCTTTAAGAGAATAACTTTGAACTTGACTTGGATCTATAATGAAACAGATTGAGCCTATTGAGGGTTTAGCAAAGGCTATGAATAAGAAATTGACCCAAGGGATGGCTGAGCACAATAAAGCTATGACAGCTGCAAAAAGAGAAGAAGAAAAGTATGTCATTGTGGGTTTCGTTCCTAGTAGCTATTTTTGTCATCTCATAACCCCTTTCCTGTGTTGTATTTGGCAGAATTAATGCTGATTGGTCCGTTTACTTGCATTGATTTTACTTTTTATTTTTCCTCTAACTTGCAGAAGAAGCAGAATGCTACAACTGGTCTTCGAACCTGCAACAATATATTGGCGATGGCCCAGGTGAATTCTTTTGCTAATGGCTCAGAATTATGCATTCTACAAAAAATGTTTCGCATTTTATTGGTTTATTGATTTTTTCAGTTCGGGGATTCTTTTTTTAAATTTAGTTTATGAATGAAATGGTGGAGAAATTTGATATTTTCTAGTCTTCAAATCTTCTTTCTATTGTGTCTTGCATCTGGTATTCAGCCATTGCGTACAAAAGCTCCGTCATTTACTGGGGATCAGAAAATTACTTTGTTATGGAAAGAAAGAACTAAAGCTTCAATTCCATCAAGTACCGCTGCTGCTGGGTAACTGAGACAAAGAACCTCCTCAAACTATCATTTTCACTGTCCGGTTTTCTATGTTTACATTCTTGGTTTGCTTTGTGCAGTAAAAAACGTAACGCTGCTGCTAATGGATCTAACCGCAATTCGGCCAAAAGGGGTAGGGGAATGGGAGGCCTACAAAACCTTCTTAACAAGGCATTTGAAGGTTTAAATGGTGGACGAGCTGGTGGAAGAGGTGGTGCAAGACGTGGTGGATGGCGGGGTCGTGGTAGAGGAAGAAGTTATAGATGAAACTGGTCGCTACTTTGCTGTATAATTCACACAATTTACTGATATACATGAGATTGTTGTAGTTTTATTTTATTTAATTTTTCTCACCTTAGTTCTTTAGATTCATAACTAGTAGTCGATATATGATGAAATTTTGGATTTTTATTTTTAATTTTCGTAATATTTTTAGAAGAAAATGATGGGCGGATGGGAAGTGGATGAGATCAATACTCTGCGCGTTCGCGCGTTCCCTTTTAGGGAATTCCATCATATCACTAATTGGAAAAAACAGGTAGGGTCTCGTTGTTGGTTCCTCCCACGTGCAATAATGACACTTTTTCTCATTGAATTAGGCTAATAAGGGGTCCCACTGTCTGTCCCGAATCCTGTACGGTTTGTTTAGAATTTTTGGGGATTGTGATTAACATTGGAAAATTGTAATTGTCCTTTTCTGATTTTTATTTTTTCAAATGCTTCATGTTTGCATAGAGCCCTTGAGTTGGATTGTCTCGTTTTTTTTAAAATTCATTTTTAACATTATTTCAATAAAATATTTTTGCTGATTCATAATTTTTTTTTCTATTTTTTAAATTAAATATCACTTCTTGAAAAATAAAAATCAAACAAGGATAATGATTGAAGAGCGAGTCAATAGCTTCGATGGTATTAGGTTAGAATTACCTTCAATGGAGCCAACTTTTTTCTCCCTTGCACATGCATATGCTTGTTTAGCGCCATATGTTTGCATATCAATCAAAGATTTTTTGTAATCAATCAATTGGTGACGCCAATATTTTAAGATATTTGCTTTAGAATTGGATAACAAAATCCTGTACGGTTTGTTTAGAATTTTTGGGGATTGCGATTAACATTGGAAAATTGTAATTGTCCTTTTCTGATTTTTATTTTTTCAAATGCTTTATGTTTGCATAGAGCCCTTGAGTTGGGTTGTCTCGTTTTTCTTCAAATTCATTTTTAACATTATTTCAATAAAATATATTTGCTGATTCATAATTTTTTTCTATTTTTTTATATTAAATATCACTTCTTTAAAAAACAAACAAGGATAATGATTGAAGAGCGAGTCAATAGCTTCGATGGTATTAGGTTAGAATTACCTTCAATGAAGCCAACTTTTTTCTCCATTGCACATGCATATGCTTGTTTAGCGCCATATATTTGCATATCAATCAAAGATTTTTTGTAATCAATCAATTGGTGACGCCAATATTTTAAGATATTTGCTTTAGAATTGGATAACAAGTTTGCACAAAGACAAAATATTTGGTTTTTGTAACTTGTTAAACGCACACATTTTATAAAGGTAAAATTTGTTCTTTATTTCGACTTCTTGTAACTACTATGCAAGTCAAATTTCATTTAAAATAATTCTATTTAATGTCATTGCTGTTCAATATAAATTTATGTGATAGTAAAATTTTTGTCACATAAACGAGTGATACGTCGACAAGCCCTTTTTCACATGAAAACAATAATAAATGCAGTTGGGACAAGCTTTCTGATGACACAAGTGACTTTGTAGTTTTCACTAATCATTATTAGTCTTTTAACTACTTTTAACTAACAAAATAAACATGAATAGCACTATGGTTGAATTATGGAAGCTACCAAGAAAGAAGCCTCTATGCCCCGGGGCATAGTCTAGTGTTGCAAAAGATAGGAGTGAAGTTATCTCACGCCTCGTTGGCAGTCGCAGTGTGGAGATTCGATTCCTTAGACATGAATTGGATTCCTTGTAGGAGCAGTGTGCATGCAGCTCTTGTTCCATAACCTGTTGAGGCACATCCTGCGATTTACTTTTCTCACAAAACTCTAGGGACGGGGCGGTCGGAGCCCTCAAGGTTGGGGTTCAACCTTTTTAAGAAAGAAGCCTCTATGAATTGTGAGAGAGAGAGAGAGAGAGAGAGAGACTGACTCCATGTGACTGAGTTGAGAAGAAGGCAAATTGAGGTGGGGACATAAAAACATTGCACATGGGGAAGAAGAAGACATTATTCTGCGGCCTCTTTTCCCTTCACAGCTCATCCTCTCTAAATCCCACATCCTCCCACTATACCCCATTCAATATTTTTATCCCTCTATTAACTATTTCATTAGAGTAGTGTTTTTTGTAAATAAGGCTTACAATCAATAGTTTATGTGACAATATAGTCACCGTTACATTCTCGAATGAAATTGGAATACATTTAATTAATTCAAGATTACGACAATTACCTCACTGTTATATTAATCTTGTCGAAATCATGTCCACTCTATATGACTTCTAGTGTTTTTGTTTTTTAAAATCATTTCATCTCTTTCGGGAAGAATGTCGAGTCTTTTCCTTCTTGTTCCTTTCTTAAGTTCTTGAATGTATGAAGTCTTGTTTCTCTGAGGGAACAATTCTTGCAATCCAATACGAAAAACTAGAGTATGCTGACAAACGTTACAAAATTGACTATAAAGATCGTCGAAGGATTTTATCCAATGGTGGATAGTGAACAAGTACAGATAAACTCTAGTGCGATTATGCACAAGAACAAAACCCAAAAACAGAATGAATCTTCGATTCTCCCATATGATAACCAGGGTGGTGAAGAGGCAATGGCACATTGGCACGTGGTGGCTGATTCCCAGTTATTAAACTAGTGCTACTTTCTCAGAGAAAACCGTTGGATTTCGATGACCCTTCTTCTCGACAGCTGTAGCTAGCTGTCCTAATCCTCCATCCCATGTGACCCACTCACCCCCACCCCCACCCTTCCCTCCAAAATTTCCGGGCCTTAAAAATAAGAACACTGCCCTACAATCTTGATGATACCCTACACACAGACACTTGACAATTCGTCCTTAAATCACTCAACTCTCTTGTCTAAGAAATTCTTCATTCAGGATTTTCTTGAACTTGATTTATATCTCGTTTTGGTTTAGGTATAATTGAGTAGAAGATTTGAGGGCTGTTAATGCATGGAGCACTTACCACCAAGAGTTCCATCTATGGCACAGAATTGGCCGTCATTTCCATTCCAAATGATGCCACTTCATGCTCCGCAAAATTCATGGGTTGATGAATTCGTTGACTTCTCCTCGACACGGCGGAGCATGTACCGGAGGACGGCGAGTGACCCTGTCGCCTTCGTGGAAGAGTCTGGCAATAATAATAATGGGTTTGAGAGATTGGATGATGAACAGTTAAGAGACATGTTTTCTGATGATATGGCGGATGTGGGGCCTACTACAAGGTCTTCGTCTAGTCCTTCCTCGCCGTCGGATCAGAACGGTGAAAACAATGAGAAGATAACAACGGTGGTGGAGGTGGAGGTGGAGAAGGAGCCCCACCGTGTGCAGCCGAAGAATGAGCCTGGTGAGGTGGATAGTTCATGCAAACCACCAGTAGAGTCACTGCCTCCTGCCAAATCTTCTGATAATGCTTCTGGGGATACCATTGTTGATCCAAAGAGGATCAAAAGGTAAAATTTGTTAAAAAATTGAAACAGTCCTAGAATTTATCGATGTTATTTAAGGAAAACATACCCCAAGAAACATTTACTTTTTGGAGTGAAAGATGTTTTTGGTCTGTTGAATGTGTAAAGTTTTCCATCTTTTGGCATAATTTAACAGATATCGCATTCATTCTTAACTATTTGCGTCAAGACAGCAAATTTGGAATCTGAATGATCATTTGAGCTTTAGATGTAGTGAATAATTTCATTTTTCTAACGTATTCATGTTGATGGCCAGAGTTTTGGCCAATCGTCAGTCGGCTCAAAGATCAAGAGTGAGGAAATTACAATACATTTCTGAGCTTGAAAGGAGTGTGACAACATTGCAGGTACGCATGTCTTGTCTGGAGAAATTGACAGTACTAAAGCATAAAAATAAGTTAAGAATTTATTAATATTATTTTCGACCTATAATTTTTGTGCAGTCCTAATTATTGAATTAATGCAGAGTGAAGTATCAGCTTTGTCACCAAGCGTCGCATTTTTAGACCATCAAAGGCTGCTTCTCAATGTTGATAATAGTGCTCTTA